CCCCAAAACCCCAAAACCCCAAAACCCCAAAACCCCGTTTTAATAAGCGAGTGTTGAAAGTCAATACCATAAAGAATTTCAAACATCAGGGGTAGATAGATTTGATTCCTAACTCAAATATCACGTCTGTTTATGACATTTAACTTAGCTGTTTCTTCAATGCTTTCTCATATGAGCCTAAAATACGTTAAGAATTATTGACAATTTATCTCCTACCACTCCTCTTACCACAGCTGGGAGGCAGAGAGCAGGGGGCTTGGGTAGGATTTTAAGAAGAGAGTGGTGGGAGGAGGAAGAGGGGAGTTTAGTGAGTGGGTGAGAGGAGGAAGGGTATAGTAATTTTTGGAAATTTTGGAATTTTTGGGATTTTTATGAAGTGGTTATTTTAAAAAGGATTTGCTTAATTAACCTCCAGATAAAGAGGTTGCATAAAATGTTGGGCCATTGGGCTAAAATGTTTCCAAGTAAGCCTCAGACATTGGCGTAGCCTTTCCGGAAATTTTTGGATGAATTATAGTATTTTTGCATATTTCATAATTATCCGCAAGTCAACTGTTAACGTAAACAGGATTAGAATCATATTCTTATTAAAAATGTTAGCTAGGCCCACAGGAAAAATTCAAATTGGAAGCTTCTCTTGGAGATGGAAAATTCTCAAGAGATCACAGTTCTGTTGCACTTGAGATTGAAGAGATAACTCGACAGAAAAGTTGGGACAATTAATGTAATTTTTCGTTCGGAAATAAATTTTCAGAAGTAACTCATAGTGATGTAATTATAATAAAAATTTCAAGGATTCCCAGAATTAAAAGAGAAAGGAGATGAAGGATAGAACCAATTTTCTTACCACACAATTGTATCTCTCTGTGTACCCCTTTCCGCAGTAGTCTCATCTAAATTTCTTTCTTTGCTCAACATCGGTTATAACATGCTGCTTTAGATGCTTCTGAAGATTGCCTTTTTGTGTGAATAACTTGTAACAGATATGACACTTATATGGTTTAATCCCTTCATGCATTCTGAGGTGATCTACAAGGTTCCAAGTTTTGCTGAACTGCTTAGTTCAGTTTGAGTAGCCTCATTGATATACTTGTTTGAAAGAGCCAGAGACAATATCTCCTACACTCACCACTTTATGACGATATGGCCTTAGGAGCTCCTTGTACATGCTATCTTTGGTCATGCCTGGGAATTGGTATTTCAGGATGTTCCTAACTTGTTCTAAATTTTCATAATACACGAATTCCCGGCCTTGAGAGTTCTTGACATATTTAACTCCATGCCTTTCCTCAATGAGAATGTTCCTTTTATCAAGAACTTCAAGGTCGCTTGGCTTAAACACATTCTGTTTGTTCTGAAAATTCATGAAATTTCTTTCAGAGGGTATCTTCCTCTCTGGACTATCTAATACTATGACCTCTCTGTCTTTCTTTATTTCTTCGAAATTCAACTTCTTTGGGTATTTTCTTGTCAATTGTAGTTCATTTGGATAGATTCTGAATGGGTGAAAATATTCTTGTACCCTTTGGCTGTGGTCTAGTGCTGATCTTCGTAATAAGCCCTGTGTTTTGGGAGGCAATGTTCTGCTTATTCCAACAGGGAGATAGAGAGTTTTTGAGTGTTTCAATGGTAATTCTGGATTCATTTTCCTGCTTAATAAAATATTTTAAGTTGTCTATTTCAACGCATGCCTTCCTTAAAGGGGTTTTGGGGTTTTGGGGTTTTGGGGTTTTGGGG